TACACTTACCGTATGTTACTTGAATATTTATGATGTTTTACGAGCTTGGTTACGACCTTTTGCATACATTTTTTTAACAATAAATTTCGATGTATTAGGCAGCGCCTTGGGCGTAAATATATCTCCGTTCGACAATAACTCATTTTTAGATATAGCAGCAAAAATAAATATTAGAGTTTTATGCTACCCGTAATGTTTTTAATGTTTTTGCCCTAGTGCGACGAAGTATCGAATATTATGTATTATGATATTTACGTAATACAGGAATTTGAAACTATATAGTCTCGCGTGTAAAATTAGGCCTTTTTGTATAACGCAAAGTAAATTAAAATATAGGTCTTAAACACGTCGACAACATTCCAATATTTAGTGTGACCTAAACTGCATATTTATTCACTTACGAGATTGACTGACATGTTTAGAAATCCATTTGAATATATAAGACGGACTGTCACTGCTATCATGAGCAACGTGGGAACGCAAACAGTGTATCAGGCTTAATTTAGCTATTGTCGTACCCCCGAATTCTTTCGTATTAGTACTACGCCTGTCCTACAAAAAACTAGGATTAAGGCGAAATACGTATAGCTAATAACTAATTTTTTCCCAAATTGCGAATTGGTTATCAAATACAACACATTTCAATCTTCCGTCTCCCGAAGCATTTCTGTTTATGGCTTCTCTAGTGCAGATCGACAGAAAAAAAAAGCAATCAAAAAGTGCGCACATGGTTGTCTGGTGTATTCACTTTAATCTTTTACCGATTGCATCCGCACGACTAGTAGCGTTAATTGGTATTCAATTCACATTATATCATGCTATACTGTCCTCAACTTTACCGTCTCCCCAATTTCCGCGCACGGTTGCCAAATACGATTTGTCTATTGGTGAACGCTGTAACTATTACATGTTTTTTTAATTATATGTGAAGTGACTTTTAAATCACAATTCAGTTGAAATGCACCAACTTGCTTACACGTTGTGTGCACAATTGAGGCATATTTTCTTTCACGTGGCATGCCTGGACTAGACAGTGTGTAATCCTTTTGTGATCAGTAACACGCGTTGACAGACATTTTACACATTGTGATTACATATGGTAGTTTTAGTA